CATACTTCAGACTTCAAATAGATCTTGTATTTTCATACCATCACTAAACAATTCTGGAAGAATCTTTGCTCCAGAAAATACTTCTACTAACATACCAAAATTAGATCAGACCAAGAATGGAGTATGTTGTAAACTAGAAAAGGTTACTAAATGAGGACTAACTAAAACAGAGGTTGGGAATAAAATGGTAATCTTTATGACATCAATAAAATACAATACTTTCCAGTGGTGTGAAGTAGGTAAATCACTGATAGTGGTGGACTACTTAGATAGCATATTACCCCCACTTACTATAGAGTCCAATCTATTTATAAGGATTGAGACATACCCATTAGTGTTCATAGATACATTACATAACAGCCATACCTAGGCTGGAGCTGCCTAATCCTTACTGTTGAGCCATGGTAGAATACAAAAGTGATTATGCAGCCTTGTGGATAATAAATTATTTTCCATCTTGCAACCCCTTTCCTACTAATGAAACATTGCTAGCCTCTCACTATGCTATTATTATGGCAAATGTTCAAACATTCCTTTTGTTCCACCATCTCAGACCCTCACAACAAGGACCCACCATGTCACATACATGGTGTCAAATCATTCCCATTCCTTTTATATTCCTTTGACTGGAAGAAGTTTAACAGATTCCCAAGCGGTTGCTTCCCCAGTCACTACAATCTTAACCTCTTCAAATCTATAGCCAACTGATATCTATCCTACATATCCTCATAAGATACAACTCTTTCTCCTTCCTTACCTCAATTTCATTCTGTAGCCTTCTACCTTGAGTGGCTCTTGGGCTTTGTATCACTTGAAAAATAATTTTAAAAAAATCTTTGCTTGTTAATCCCTGGTTCTTAGTTATTACCATTTTCATTTTTTTCAAGTCTCTTTTTATAACAATATACTAGTCTGGTACCTGTCACTTCTCTGATGGCAAGATGATCAAATTTCAAATCTAAAGTATTTGTCCATTTAAAATACCATATTTATTAGAAAATTCAGTCAAAATTCAGAAACAGTCATAAAAATGGGCTGGTTTATACACTTTTCCTGTTACTCAGATTTTTTTGCTCGACAGTAATGGAAATTAGCCTTCACAACATAGATGCCCACTTCTCTTCCATTCAAATTGTGTATATGCATATGTATGTTTGTATGTATACTTTAATTGAATGACTGCACTAAAAATATTTCTGTATCATTTTTAAAAAACCTTAAAAAAATAATTTCTATTTATTACTGATTAATTTCTGAAAAGTTCAAAATCATTTATCTGCTTTGTTAGGATTTTAAAACTTAAGTATTTTTGTTCATGTTTCCAAATTTATGATTTTATTGCTCAGTTTAGGGTTTGTGCTGCCTGAGTGGGCATAGAATATATTATTCCAATGTCTTATTTCAAACTCATTCAAATTATGCATGCATGTGTGTGTGTGTGTGTGTGTGTATATGTGTGTGTATGTATATGTGTATATATATATATATATGTGTGTGTGTATGTGTGTGTGTATATGTGTATATATATGTGTGTGTGTGTATATGTGTATATATGTGTGTGTATATATATATATGTGTGTGTGTATGTGTGTATATATATGTGTGTGTGTATGTGTGTATATATATGTGTGTATGTATGTGTGTATATATATGTGTGTATATGTGTGTATGTGTGTATAAATGTGTGTGTATGTGTGTATATATGTGTGTGTGTGTGTATATATATATATGTGTATGTGTGTGTGTGTATATGTGTATGTGTATATATGTGTATGTGTATATATATATATGTGTGTGTGTGTGTATATATATGTATATGTGTGTATATATGTGCGTGTATATATATGTATATGTGTGTATATATGTGCGTGTGTATATGTATATGTGTGTGTGTGTGTATATATTTATATATATATATATATATTGAGGAGGCACGGTGGTGTAGTGGATAGCAGCTTGTATTGAGGAAACGGAGAGCCAAGTTAGAATTCCAGTCAAATCTATTACATTCACGTACGTGCTAATACCCTTGGGAAAGGTATGACTCCTCTTCTTCCTTCAGATATGGGTAAATCACATGACAGACTGGGTTCTAAAGCCTTGGATGGCAACTGGTCTATGAGAAGGACAATTCTGAATGCAAAACCTGCGGAGTTTCATTTGGGAACCTTGTGGCATGCAATGCACCAGGTCTCTGTATTCGGCCCTTCAAAAATGTGTGGTTGGTTCCACTATAATCAAATCATATGTGCTGGTGTCTTGGCTGTCAGTTCCTAGGAACTGAGCTGCTTGACCCTTATACACCAAATATGATGGGAGAGTGTGTACCTTAAATGGCAAAAACACATGTGAGTCACTTATACGCAGTGTAGACATATGCATATATGTTATATACAAGCATGCAATATCACACACAAGCAGCTTGTAAGAAAATCAGCTCTTCTTTTCTAATATAGATTAAAGCTGTGTTTTTTTTATTGTTCCTGATATGCCAATGATTGCTTTTTTTTCTATTGTTCTATGATTTCTGTTAAACCTTTTCCCAATGCCCAACATTGTATTCACATCTCTCAATAGATTTACAATGTCTTGTTTCTTTTTTCTGCATATATCTTTATGACCCATGGCAATTTTTATAAGTTTGAAATTAATAAAATAAATCTCAATAATTATGCCATTATATATATTTATTTATAATATCATGAACAACCCCCAAGTTATATAATAAAATCTCGCACCATCAAATAAGTTATTGCAAATATTTCTTATATAGATATAAATTTGAATTCATGTAATGTAGATTCAATGGCAGAAATGCCCAGCAAACAGAATTGACAAAGATTGCAATAACAAAAGAAAGAAAAGAACAGGGCAAAAAAATAAAACTCAGCAAACACTATATGCAAGACAAAAGCAACCAAAGCAACATTAATGAGACAAAAACTCTCGCTGAGGGAATACAGACAAGTGATCGCAACATTCTGACGTCAAGACATGAAAAAATAGAAACATGGCAGATGAGAAGTGGCCTATTTTACTAGCTAAAAAGAAATCCCAGCATGCATCTGTACAGTTTGTCTATGAATTTTGGGAGGCAGATGTTTTTGCAGTCATTCCCATGCAGGATTGGAACCACTATATAGTATGGAAAATGTAACACTGAAATCCAAAAGTGAATTGGAATAACTAAAGATGCCTTCTAATAGCTAAGCAAAATATTATGAAACAGAAAATATTTGTTAGAAACTGTTAATACTGAGCTGTTATGTAATATTGGTCATCCTATATGGCATAGACGAGGAAAAGACTTGAAGCAACAGAATGATGCTGAGAATATCATGAACTGAACATGTGAATAATGAAAAAAATTTTGGAGAAAATGGAAATGCAAAGAACACTTAAACTTAGAATCAGAAAGAGACAATTGAAATTTCTGGGGCATGCAATGAGGAAAGGGAGCTTGGAAAATTTGATACTCACAGGACATGTTGAAGGCAAGAAGGACAGAAGAAAGCAGCGATTGACCTACTTAATGAGCTTGTGTAAATGTTTGTCAGTACAGGATTTAGTAGAGACTAGAAGCATGGCCCGGCGTTGCCTGTGCTTGATTCAAAAATCATACGACTCATACAGCACTGTACGCACTAACCTGTTTCTTCCCGCGCATAGCGTGACCTTAAATTAATCTGCATTTAGGAAATACCCAACCGGAAAAAACATTTTTAAGGGTTGACTGATTGTCGATTTGCACTCTGTTTGGGAGGGGGGTGCTCAGAGTTGAAACTTCACATGATGACTCCCAATGGCCTCTTCATAAATCTGCTCGGTTTTCGCTAAAAACCGACATGCAGTTCAGACGCAATCTGGGCGTATCGGCTTTTGGGTTTTATCGATTTTCCGCGCTGTTTAGGGGTCCGTGGTCATGAAACTTCTGGACAACACTTCTAAAGGTAGACTCTAAGAGGGTGTTAAATTTGGTTGAAATGCAATAATTCCTTCTGTAAGCAGATTTTTTCGATTATCGATTTTTTTTCGGAACCTGAGTCCAAACTGAAAAATCGGGCTGCGTCATGTCCTTAAGGCAGCCATTTGCAAACTTGTGGTGAAAACCGCATCGAAATCGGGTGAGAAATGCGGCCTGGGCGAGGTAACAACGCCCACAACAGACACACAGACAGACAACATGAGAAATATAGATAGTAGATTAGCTAAAAACAAACATTGCTAAGATCTACAAGAGACAGGAAATTGTGGAGAGCCATGATTGCCCACAGAAAATGGATTTGTGATACTGAGTTCAAATTCTGTCTGAGACTATTTGCATTCACATTGCAATAATACCCTTGACAAAGGCATGAATCCACTTCTCCCCATGGCTATGGGTAAATAACAATGTAGTTGGAACCCTTTATCCTAGGCTATACATGATCATGTAATAATTATAATGGTTTAGTGACACGAGTTTTACTAATTAATCCATAACTGTGGTGGGTTGAGGGTGAGAAGTGGTGGATTCATAACTGATCAGAATTTGATAAACAAGAAATTATGTGGATAGTGGGTGATCAATTCCATGTTACAATCAATATGTAAACTGATCTCTCACTTTGTGGCCACAGTAGTTTCTGGCATTTATATTCCAGAGAATGTAAATAAATCTTAGAGACATGCTTGTGTAGTTGATCAGAATTTGGTCAGCTGAGTGATTGATTGATTGATTTGTTTTCTATGGCTTATCAACCTTTTGCTCATTATTTAAAGCCAGAAAATATTTTTAGAATTTAAGAACGTTTTTTTTTTTTTTGGAGGGGGGAGATAATAATGGTTTAGTGTTACAAGTCTTACTAATTAACCCATAGCTGGGGGAGGAGAGGTAGATTCATACTTTTCTCAAGGGTATTTGCGTGTAAGTGAATATAACAAACCCAACGGGAATTGGGACTCCGCTCTCCGATTAACAATTCTGAGCCATTATCCATTACACTATCCACACATCCAAGCTTACAGCACCAGGTATTCCCAAGTGGTTACCCATCTAGGTACTGAACAGTCTCAATGTTGCTTAACTTCAGTGATCCTATGGGGATCAGTATTTCAATGTGATGTGACTGTAAGCCATGTTATAGTAGGAAGAATTAAGAATTCCTGACATTCTGAGATGACATATTCAGTGAATTATTCAGGCCATCATCTTTTTCTTTCTTATTTTAATCCCAGTGCCTGAATTAGTGCATTTTCTGACTTTCTGGTTGTCATTAGGACATTTCAAAACAAAACACTATTATTTACATTAAGACTAATGTGCTCATCTTTGTTGTTATGATGCCCTTCAGCCATCTTTCTGTGGCTGTAATATCCGGGTAACCTTCAGGGTATTTCAAACTGAACCCATTATTTAATCTATGAGACAATAGTCTAGCGGATTAAAATGATGATTTGTGAATTTGGTGGCATAGTAAAATAGTTCAGTCAATTTGAAATTGCTTGAAGGTTAACTGCATCAACAGACACCTGAAGAAAGGCAGAGTGTACAGTGGTTGAAATGTTGTGATAATAACGACAAAGATGAGGATATTAGTTCAAATATAATGTCAATAATAGCTCCCCATTCCAGAAATTCTAACAGAAAAAAAATACTTTCTGAAATCAGTTAATATTTGTTCGTAATTCTCTTCAACTGATATCGATTATTATTTTTGCTTTTCCTCACAGTCCATCGGGAAAAGCTTTTGTGTCAGGCCATGCAGACCATTCTATTATACGCTACACATTTGAAGATGATGGTTCAGGAGAAATTCGGGTAAGTGGCCATCTTGATAATTTTTAGATTATGTTTTTTTTATATTCTGAGCACCAATTGATCTTCATTAATAAAGTTCAAGATTACTCATCTTTGCAGCACTTGGATAAATAACAAATCACTTGTTGTTTCCAATGCAATAGGGAATGACTACGAAAACATTCCCCTCCCCAAATTTATTGACAAATCATACAGATGTATGCTGCGATTTCTTCTTAGCCAAGTACTTTTCGGTTTCATTCACCATATTTCTGTTTTTTCTTGTCTTGAAATCAGAATGCTATGATCACTTGTCTGTATCCCATTTGTGTGTTCTTTCTTTGTGAACTTTTTTTGCCTCATTACTGTTGCTTTGGTTACATTTGCCTTGCATATATTGTTTGCTTAGTTTTATTTTTGCCCTTTTCTTTTCTTTCTTTTGTTATTATTTATTGCAAACTTTGTCAATTCTGGTTGCTGGGCATTTCTGCCAATTACATTTAACCAGGGCCAATTAATCCACAGCCATTTTGTGGCCTTCCTACTATTTAAATGCAGTTCAACTAAGAGAAAGTTACTATGATAGAAAAAAAAACAGGAATACCAAGTTTGGGTAAATAAAGAATAACAGGTGTGGAGTTGGCAACTTCACCCTGTAAAACAATGACCTGTCTCTGAAACCATGAATGTAGCCCTATATTCCACAAGGACCCTACAATAATGATAACTTATTTCCTGGAATATCTCTTTAAACCACTTGTACTGCAGTGGTTATTAAACTAATTTTTAAAGCTATTGATATTAAATTAACTCTTCAATAGTTGCACCAACTGGGAAAGATATTAGGGAATAATCTAGAATATATATGGGGCACAAACTGCCTGTCTACATATAGGAAATGAAATGACTAAGTATGCAACAGCAGAAAGAGGTATAACACAGGGCTTTGTCTTCTCACTAGATTTATTTAACCTTTACATTGAGGTGATCCTAAGAGAACTAGAAGTCCTGCCAGGATTTCTAACATTTGCCCATACTTAGAATATTGCTGCCACATAGGGTCTGGTGCTCCTGCTATTTATCTATAGATCCTTGATAAAATTCAAAGAAGAATCAGCAGTATTATTGATCCTGATCTGGCATCTCAGCTTCAGTCACTTTCCTATCACTGTAAGATTACCTCCTGGTGCCTTTTCTATAAATACTTCCATGGTAATTAGTTTGGATGATGTCTTCGATATGGTACCTAGACTTTTGGGATTTAAGCAAAGTACTACTAGACTGGCATTGAGATCTCATAAATTTACAGTTGAACTGACAAGATGTAACCGTAAATTCTATGCTAACAGTTTCTTTTTTTACATTTCTTGTTTGTAGAACTCCCTTCTGGCTCCATGCTTTCTAGAGAAATTGAATCTTCAAAAATTTAAATGCAATGTTAATCACTATCTATTGTCCTCCTTATTAATCTTTTTGTTTTTGCTCATTAGTAATGTTTCTGTTTCTAATTCTTCCACACTCAGTAACCCCTTGTGTTTTAGTGGCCTTACTGCCTTGCATGAAGTGATCTTGATTTAAAATAAAAAAATAAGATATGCAGATGATACCATGTTGATGACTGGCATAAAAAGGAAAACTGCAGGAACTCTTACAGAGTTGGTAAAGGCAAGTGGGAAGAATTAACCATTGATTGCAAGATTACAATGTATGGTTGTCGGCAAGAGGAACGCCTCAAGGCGTGAGCTACAATTAGAAAAGTTAAAATCAAGCTAGTACAGAAATTTAAGTATCTAAGAAGTGTTTCAGCTGAGAATGTGACACTGAAATCTGAAGGCACATTGGGACAGTGAAAGAGGCCTTCCAAAAGCTAAGCAAAGTATTAAGAAACAGGAAAATGTCATTAGAAATAAAAATAAGAGTTGCAATGTAGTATCATTCCTTCTATATATGGCAATGATTTTCCTCACAGGTGAAGAGATTTGAAGCAACAGAGATGTGGTTCTGCAGAAGGATGCTGAGAATGTTGTGGGCACAACCTAAAAGTAATGAGATTTTAAGGAAAATGGGAAGGAAAAGGGCATTTATTCTTTTAGAATCAGAGGCAGTTGGAATTTTGGGGACACAAAGAGGAAGAAGGACTTAGAGAATTTGATATTCACAGGATATACCGAAAGTAAAAAGGGAAAGAGGGAAACAATGAGTAACCTACTTAACAAGGTTGTGTAAATAGCTGTAAGGATATTGAAAGAACAAACATCGCTAGGAGCTACAAAAGAACATAGAACATAAAAGAAGAAGTCCTATTCTCGAGCTTGTTTTTAATGTTTATAATATTCTTGAGCATATAGAAATAGTTTATAGCACTGCCACTGGCTTGCTGAAAGATGTAAATGAATTCTACGTTTTCTCTTTAGAAAAAGAAAGCATTCAGATATAAATGTTCATGTAATTAACAAACCTAAACGGTATAGCCCACAGCCTCACACACCTCATTTTGAGACTTCTAATCACTGAGCCATTTCTTTCTGATCTGCCTATGAATAAAATGAAAAGAAAACAAGAGATATTGTCTGTGTTTATTTGTGGCAATCCAAATTATTGTTGAAGAGCAACGGGGGAGGTAGGATAAATGAATCAGAAAGCCCCCTTTTGAAATGCATAGTTTAGAATTGATTTGCTTAAAATAAACAGTGTACTGACAGACACACTCAATTCGCTTAGTTTTTCTCTTGGTGGTCGTTGCAAGCACTTTCTCTCTCTCTCTCTCACTTATTTTTGTTCCACTCCCAAGAGGATGCTTCCCCGATCACTAAACTCTTAACCTGTTCAAGTCTATGGTTAACCATTATCTTCCCCACATATTTCCATAAAATGTGCCTCTTACTTTTTAACCATCTACCTTGAGTGGCTCTTGGGCTTTGTACAGGGTGAACATCATTGTAAAAAAAATCTAAATATATGCTTTGTGCACAGAACACTTAACAATGCATCAACTTCTTTTTCTAGTAACATCCTGTTTTTTGGTTTGAAGTAGGTTTTCCCCAGATTCATGGGGAGTAATTGCTCATTACTCTACCATGCTGACTCAGTGCATGTTGGTAAGGTTGGACGTGACGGGCTTGGGAAATCATATCACTTTTTGATTTATGGGACTTATGACCATATCATGTTGAAACACCAGTTCTCATAGAATCACTGAAGTTAAGCAATGGCAAGCCTGGTCAGTACCTAGATGGATGACCATTTGGGAACATCAGGTACTGTAAGTTTGGATGTGCATGTAGTGTAATGGATAATGGCTTGGAATTGAAAATCAGAGAGTTGAGTTCCAACTCCAGTCAGGTTTGTTATGTTCCCTTATGTGCAAATACCCTTGTAAAAGGTATGAATCCACCTTTTCTACCCCCAATTATGGGTTAATTAGTAGGACTTGTATCAGTAAATAATTATTATCTTCAAAAAATCTTACAATCTAAAAATATTTTCTGCCTTTAAAATAACCTGCAAAAGGTTGATAAGCCATAAAAAATAACCAATCTTTTTCTTCCTCCTCTTCAGACGTTGACATTCCCCAGATTCATGAGGAAGGATGCACCATTACTTTACTATGCATGTTAGTAGGGGCAGATGTGACATGTTTTGGCAAACCTGCCTCATTTTGGTTCATGATTGCCCAAGGATATTTGTGCATATATAAATGTAACGAGCCCGACTAGAATTTGAAGTCAGCTCTCCAATTTCTCAATCCAAACCATTATCCATTACACCGCCCACACATCCAAGCTTAGAACACCCAAGCAGTCACCCATCTCGGTATTGATGAGGCTTGATGTTGCTTAACTTTGGCGATTGGATGAGAATCGTTGTTTCGATGTTATATGGCTGTAAGCCAACAATGCAAGTCCTTACCCAAATATAATTGATCACAATTCGTATAAGCCTGCTAGAAGATATGAACAACTAAAAAAAAATAAATAGATTTATCAGACTTTCTCTATGTTCATTTTTATCTCAGGACAATCTATGTTGTATCATCAAATAAAATATGGCTATCTTGTCTGCAAGTTTTCAAATGGCAATAAAAGGTCAGACTGTTTACAAACATGAATCTGTTATTTATACTACATTAAATGTGTAGTGTATGCACGTGTCATTTATTCACAATGGGGCTAATATAGATTGATACAGTAAAGGAGGCTGGGGAGACGATCACAGTTGAGTCATTGTTGTAATGGTAGTCGTTCATAAGTGATGTTCAGTGAAAAGCAGGCAGAAAAAAAAGAGTCAATTTATCAAGTGCAAGCAAGAATACATGTGAAAAATATCTGCTTTGGAAGATTCAAATTGCATAAATACAAATTGATACTAGAACTACCATTTTTTTTATTTTATTTTGATTCCTTGAAAGGAATTTTTTGAAAGCTGTTTTTCTCTTTCTTTACTATATCTTCACATCAAATATATTTTCTTCTATATTCTGTGTCATTTCTTAACATAGGCGATCTCTACAACTTCCTGTTCCTTGTAGCTTTAAGCATCGTTTGACGCCTTACAATGTCTCACTATCACCACTCTGCCATCCGTCCACACAAACTTGTTAGCTCGATTACTTACTGTTTTCTTTGCCTTTCTTGTTTTCAATATGTCTTGTGAGGCTTACGGCCATATCACATTGAAACACTGGTGCTCATACAGTCACCAAAGTTAAGCAATGTTGAGCCTAGACGGGTAACTGCTTGGGAATAGCAGCTGCTGCAAGCTTGGATGTGCAGATAATGTAATGAATAATGGCTTGAAATTGGAAATCAGAGAGCCAAATTCCAGTCATTATTTTAACAAAGCGATTTAACGTGTAGAACAATAGATAACCTACATAGACAGCTAGTATGCTGTGATGGTTCTTAGACAGTTCTCAGGTGAGTCAGTCAACAAGAATTCATGAGATTTACCAGAAAGTGATATACAATATTGGTGACACAGAACCTCAACTACCAACATGTGTAAAAATCTTTGCACTTCCAATAAATCAAGAGGCATCTTGTCTGTAATATGGAGAAAGGTCATTAATCTTGCAAATTTTGTTCAGAAAATTGAACTCCTTTTGGTTTTTGCTGTTTTTACCCCAACATTTCAGCTGATACATTCTTCAGCCTTCATTAAATCTATAATCTCTCACTATTTTCTTAAGAAATCAACTTTTTTCTCCTTATGGATGAAAGCTGAAGAGTGAATCAGCTAAAACCTGGTTCATCATCAAGACCATCAAAAAGGAGTTCAGTTTTCTGAATAAAATTTAGGGGTCTATGTGTAAACACGTTAAGACTTTTCTCAAAATGGAAGCTTATAAAATTTTTAACTTTATTTTTCTCAAAATTTTACATTGATTCTTAAATTTCCTCTTGAAATTTATTTTGTCAAATGTTGGATAACAAATTAATCTTAACCCTATTTATTTTCCATTGGTTGATTTATTGGCATCAATGATTTTTCATTTCCTTCTTCAAGAGAAACAGTTTCAATCACCCTTTCTCCATATGGTGTATTTTATTTTTGTTAATCCGAGAGTGGTCTAAAATTACAGGTGATTCCCCATATCCAAGATAAGGCAAACTGATGCAAAGCATAAAATTTCCCATTATTTTTTCATGAACAGAAGTGTAACAACTATAAGTAAGCCATTTATGAGGTCTGATCAGAAAGTATTGGAACTGTTGCTATTGTAATGGAGCTAAAGTAGACAGAGTGAAGCTGCTTGGCACAAATTGACCATAAACTTTGCTCCACATACATATTAAGTTATAACATTTTTACTCACTTCCGTTATTTATAGCAGTGCTTGGAAGGGAAATGCATAGAATGTGGTTGTCTTACTGCACCACAGAGGTTCCATCAATGACCATGACTTGTGCAGCAGATTTTGACAAAGTATAACATTCCCCATGTCTGACAATCACTATATTTTCCAGATGTCATGCCTTGTTACTTTTTCCAAAAATCAAATCCCATTTGAAAGGAACAAGATTTCAAGACTACTCCATCATTTCCATTGATGGAAGCAATGAAGTAGCTGCTCACTATCCCCAAAAAGGAGTTCCAGGAATGCTTCCATCAATAGAAACCAAGCTGGATAAAGTGTATGGTTTCTGTAGGAGATTGCTTTGAAGGAGATTAAATGCTAAATTAATGTGTTGTAGTTTTCTTTTCATAGCACCAGTCCTGATACCTTTTAATCAAACCTTGTATTTGTATTTTGTGGGTTCCAGTTTGAAAATCAGTCTCTATGTTCATTAAAACTAGAAAGTATTTATATTCTTTGAAAGAAACAACATATATAGCTTTGAAAATGATGGAATGCATTCTTTTAAAGAGATCTTTTTTGTCCAACGCTTCTTCAGAAAGATTCATTAGAATGACAATAATCAAAACAACAAAACTGAAAAGATAGACATGGGGGTGGAGGGGGAAATAAGGAGCTACAGCTAAATTAAATTTATTACTAAAGAAAACAAATCCAAGTAAATAAGCACCTAGTAAGTATAAAACAAAAAAAAATTACTCATAACCCACCCATGAGACAAAGAAAGTTCTCCTACCTGCACAAAGTTTTGCTGTTTTGATTATTGTCGTTCCAATGAATCTTTCTGAAGAAGTGTTGGATGCAAAAGGTCTCTTTAAAACAATTTTTTCTGTCATTTTCAAAGCCATTTGAATTGATTTGTCATTTTCAATCAAACCTTGCCAAAAACAGAAGCTAGAATTTATCTGTGGTCTGTCCTATTGCCAGTCATCGTGGCCTTGTTTTCTAACAATTAATAAAAGCTGTAAAGAGGGAAAGTCAGTCGTTATGTTTCTGGGTTTTAACAATAAAGACTGCTGTGTTATGAGGGGAAAAAAGCCAGTTTTTTTGTTTGTTTTATTTTTTAAAGTGTGAACATTTTTTTTTTTTTTTTTTTGGTTTCAGGGTAAGATGTGTCAACACTGTTGTCCTCCATATGCTTTGGCCTACACTTCCCATGGTTTGATTGCTGCTGGTTGTGACAAGAGAATCATTGCCTATGGACGTGACGGTCGCAGTTTCCAACATTTTGACTATAGTCGAGAAGAGGATGAAAATGAATTCACAACAGCAATATGCAGTCCAAGTGGTCTGTCTGTTGTCCTTGGAAGCTTTGACAGGTATTGCTATCAGTAATGGAGATTAGGTCAAAGACATTAAGCTTCATTAGTTTTCTTTTATTTTTATTAGTAATGTTCATCCAATACAAGATTTGAGAGCAACTCAAGGTAGTGTTACTGTTAAAATAGTAATAATGAATGAGGTGTATGACACAAGTAAAAGAGGTGTTGGTCGGAAGTAAAGATTATGAATGACCCTTGACATGAAGAGGTTAAGATTGTAGTGATCTGGGTAGTACCTATGTGAAAGTCTGTTCTACAAAGCTGTTGAAATTGCTCTGGATATTTTTATAGACTGAACAACAGATTCTGGTGATTTATATTTTTACATTACGGGCATGTGTCTGAGAGTGGTTAGAATATTTGCTTTCTGATCATGAGACGCCAGTTTAAATCTCATCATGATTGATTTGTCAGGAAGGGGACTTGTTGATATTATCAACCTGGGAAGGCGATCCCAGCATATGGCACCTTTGGAAAGGTGCCTGAAAACCATACCATGTGTTGACTCATGCTTGGTAAGTAAAAGTGAGTAGATGATATTACTTGGGTGCCATGAATGGTTGTGCTAGCATGAGGTCAGAAGTCATCATGACTGAGGGTTTGAGTGTACAGGCCCTTGATCCCTCTAGATAATGTGCTCTTTCCCAGAAACTGTAATTAAGGTCCGCTTAGCATAGTTGCAGTATAAACCACAAGCAGGCTCTGTGGATGTTGAACAAACACAGATGTGCCTGAGCAGGCATCTGCAACAGGGTTTGGTTAGGCACTGTAGTAGACAGTCATAATCGGATATGAGTGGCCATTATTATACAGATATAGATATATGTATCTGTATACATTGAGAAATTTGAAATTGTTTGGAAATAGCTGCTTTTCTAGCTTAAGTGGACATTCACTTTCTGTTTTTACCAGTGTTATGGGGATGGGATGTATGGATAGTGAAATGGATATTGGCACAGAAAATGGAATCAGCATGCCATGTTCATTTCTTGCTGGTCTGGGCAATGTTTAAACTTCATACCTGCAAAAAAAAAAATGGTGTGTCAAAAGGATGGTTATTCCCTTAACATTGCTATTACTGTATACA